TCTTTCCACACAGCAGTGTCGTGCCTTAACAGTTGTGCCCTTTCTTACCTGGGCAGGTGCAGTGGACAGAATTGATCAGGTCACACACAGTTAGCAGCTTGTCAGTTATATGAAAGCTGAAAATCTGGGTACAATTTTTGCCTGGACAGTAAGCCTGAGCTTTCTTATGCCACTAGAACAGAGTTCATTTGTGTAACCCTGCTACATTCTGCCCAAAGCCTAATGCAAAACAGAAATAAACAAACAAATTAACCCCATATGGTGGCATTTTGTGAAAATGAATTGTTTTGCCTTCATTTCTTTCAAATACTTTACAAATTAATCTAAACTATCAGGCTATCGTTACTGGTAAAACCACAGGACCATATTTCAAAAATTCAGGATTGGACCTCTATTATGAAAGCTACAAAACTTTAGTTTATGATGTTCTTCAAAAAAAAAGGACGAAAGGAGATGTTTTCACTTGTGACTTTGAAAGTGTCTTCAGAAAGTGAGAATAAGAAACACAAGTCTTTAGAGTTCCTAAGGTTTTAATTTGAAGTCTGTTAGTCCCAGCCAGCTTCATGTCACTGTACGTTTTACAGGGAGGGATCTGCAATTTCAAATGACTGAGTCAGGCTCCGATTGTCAAGAAGTTTCTAATTTGGATGCCTATGTTTAGATGCCCCAAATTGACAGGTAGAGAACTTGCTACAGTTAAAGACATCTGTGGTTGCTGATTGATTTTCAGTGTTTTGAATAATTGACACTATGTTCCTAAACTTCGAAGCATCTAGAATTACAAGTGATGTATAAAAATGTGGTAAACAATGCTTAACGACAGCTATAAGAATCTCATGTTAGGACCCTATCAGTAAACATCTTTGGTCTAATTTATATAACAAAATAAAACCCCAGCCTAAACCCCTATTAGTAAACATCTTTGGCCTAACGTATATAACAAAACCAAACTCTAGCCTAAACCCCTATAGTAGTCAAAGGAATGACTCACCTTTAAAAGACTTAAATACATTGCCAGGCTTGTAACAATACAACTACATTAAAAAAAAATTCCAACCCCTAACTGAAATAGATATTATTATAAAAAAGTCCAGCCCAGACATGCCCCTATAATGGCAAAAAAAATCCTTTGAGTGGTAAGGACCTGGTAAAAATCACATCAGCAAAATAACATGGTAACCATTTGCCAGCATAGCTTTGCCACAGCCAGCAACATCTGTGAAACAACCCGATGACTTTCAGTAAACCAAGCTCCTAGAGGTAAAGATATATATTAAAATACATACCACGTCAAAAATTCTCAGCCAGCTCTAGATAAGTGGATCTTGGCACAGAGCCAGTGCAATGAAGAAATACCAGCTGAGATCCTGTAAATAGCACAGCTGCGTTAACATGGCATTACAGCCAGGCTAATTAGTCCTATTAGTGGCACAGTGCATGTTGCGACTTAGACCCCTAGTTCACAGAGGCATGCCTGAGCATCTTACCCCATAGGCCTGAATATTTTCACTGGCACTCTTCAGTGGGAAATATTCCTATTAGAACCTCCTTGTATACTCTCGTGTCAATACATGTAATGTACTAATGAGGAATGTGGTGAGATAGTTTTACCAATTTCTGTCAGCCATTTGGCAACAGCTCCATAAATTTCATCAAGTATAAGTATCACCACGAGGTTAATGATGACAGCAGTTGCGGTCACAGTCACTCGAACATTTGACCTGGTTGTCTCGTTTGTGCTGAATGACAAAGCTGCTGCTGTTGTGATCCGGTATACAATCACACCAAACACTGCTGAAAACGTCAGCATAATCTGCAAAGAAATGTACAGATAGATTAGTTCAAGTTTGATACTAGCACTTAAACAGAAGCTTTGAATGATATGTTGGGTTTGTTCCATGAATTGGCGTTGTGTGGTTATTTCTTAGAGCAACGGCAATACGGGGATAATCAAATTAAAATGTGAGAATTCGAAACTCTCTACAGGGACATAATGAAGAAAATGGATGCAGAACTCTGAAACTGGCCCAATTCCTGAAGATGTGCATGTTCTCTCTGATTAAAGCTGCACACATTATTCATGCAGTACTGGTGAAACTCAGGTAGTTTGGATTCAAATGCAGGTATTAAGCAAGGTCTTTTATCTGGCAATAGGTTCAGATGGCTTGGACTGAAGGGCCTACATGTATGTGCAGTCAAGTAAATAGGCTTTACTGTCTGAAACAGCCTCACCTCTGAAGAGCAGAAGTGGCACCTTACTCTCCAGTTGTGTTTCCTCAACTCTCGCCACAAATTTAAAAAAAAAAAAAAAAAAAGAATATTTCCCTTGTTATTATTCTTTTAAGACTGACCTAAACAGGGTTACTAGGGCTTCACTTTACATTTCTGTCCCAGAAATCAGTGGGTATCCTTGCATCCTTCATGGGCTGGCTTTGACATATGAGATGAGGAAAGTCAGCCCTGCTGCTTAAGGTCAAGTTCCCACAAGAAGAATTTGAATTTCGCAGGGCTGTGGTATTCTGGTTTCAAAAACACCCACCCCACAATGAAAAAAATCAATAAAATAACAATAAAAAACCAGCAAATTTCCATGGCCATGGCAGGAAAGGGGGAGAGGGGACATTTTTCTCTTTCATTTTTGCCTTTGGCAAGAATTCCAATGTACATTCATTATTTTAGGTTAAACATTTTGAGATCCTCAGATGAAAGAGACTACCTAAATGTGAAAGATTAGACTATTGCAATTATTTCAATGGGCCTAGGGGCCCAGATTGACAACACAGGTTTAAGGAAATTTAACAGTTCATTTTAATGAGCCAGCAATAGTTTATTGAATTCCTGTATACAGAGGAAGGTTATCTTATGAAAAAGTACTATTGCAAAAGAACAAGAATAAGAATAAGAACTATATTAAAGTTTGAAGATGAAAACTGGGCACATTTAGTTTTAATGGAGAACTAGTAAATGTACTAAAAAATAACAATTTGGAGACACTCCTGGAGATATCAGATGAAATTCACAAATATGTTTGTGAGAAAATAGTAATAAAGTGTTAGATCTAGTAAAACATCTAATTTTGACTTTTTAAAGAAATGTTTCATTAATGTCAAATGAAATGTAGGTGAATGATGAGGTTTTGCTTCATGGTAATATTTTTAATTCAAATACTGGTCTAACGAAAACAGTCTAAACATAAAACACTTTGAATGAAAACGTTTCAAATAGCATGAAATATTATTTCCTTTCCTTTTGTAGTTTTCATTGTGTTGAGAAAACAGTTCTAATTTTTCTGCCTATTTTTATCTTTTTCTTTTGACTTACCTACCAAACATGCAGACAAAAAGCTATTCATGTTGAACTATCTGCTCAGCTCTTGTTGTGACAGAAGTGGTGCAGGCACACAAAGATTAGAACTTTTACCTAATTTGCCCATTGCAGAAGCGATCACTACAATAGAGAGTAATATCCCCAATAAACAGAGAGAACAAAAAAGCACCACCTGGCAGTAATCTAGTTCACCTTCCACATCTACAGTCACCTTAAGCTCTTTTCTTTTTCTTAGTTTGGGTCACATATTCCTTCCTCTTAATCACCTTCCAAATACTTTGTTTCTTTCCCCTGTGGATTTCTTTAAAATTTTTACTATGATGGTGGACAAAGAAAATCAGCAAAGTAAACTTGTATGTGTCATTCTGGAAATTATGAGCTCTCTGGGCCTCCGCAGTCACCAATCTCCACCACAAGCTTCCGCTTAGAAATTATATCTTAACAGCACAGGAAGAAGAGTCATCAAGGACAGTCATCACTAAACAGAGAAAAAGGAAATTTCAAGTCATAGAAGTTGAATAGCAAACTCTTAAACCTGACGAAAGGATTTAAGGGATTCATAGCAATGAGAAGATTATTGGAGGGTGAGGTACTATCAGAGGCTTGCACTATTGAGGCCTTTTCTATTCATGCAGTGCCATAGCAAGATATACAAAGTTACCTGAAAAATAAGTTTTATTTGTTCAAAGAACAAAGATATTGGTTTTGCAAAAGCACCAGGGCTTCAGAAACTCCTTAGTTGCCCAGCTGTTTTTAAACATCTGCTTAGACACAGATGGAAAAACACTCTTTTAGGAGTCTTCATTATCTGTGCATCCAGCAACAAAAGAAAATTGAGGAGGGCTTGTAGGACTGCGCAGTAACTGAGAGCATAGTTCCCACTCCCCAGACGGTCACTGAGAGGGAGTAGTTCCTGTATCTTAACAGCATTTCTCCCATTCCTTACAATTCATCTTTTGCCCAAATTCCAGATCAGATGTTCACCTTTCATTAAGGTGCTTACTTCGGGTTTTGTTGCCATTGTCAACTTTTCATCTGGCCAGTTCTATCCCCTACTATGGCAGACAGTTTCTTCACTGAATATCTAAACTAGTCTGTCAAGGACTGAATTGCTTAGAAACAGATGTGAAAATTGGCTGCAGAAAAGGTCACCTACTGAGCCTGGTATGAATGAAGACAAACAGGAAAGCATACTAGATCTGAGAAGGAAGCTATAAAACCCCGTGGGCTAGACTGATACCTTCATCCAAGTAGGATAACAATTTAATGTCCAAATAGTTCTTTGGTTCCCCAGTGGGGTTATTCTAGAGTCAAGTATTATGCCGCGTGAGTAAGAATAGGGCAATAGGGTCCAAAAGAAGGAACAGGCTGAACTCTTGTGCCATGACACTAATTGGTTTTCTTCCTTCCTCTGACTGAGCCAAATGCAATGAACCCAAAAAAAGTCTTCAGTGATGGCATTGATTCATGCCATCCTGCTCTCTTCCAGCAGCTACTAATGTTTTCACCACATACTTGGAAATCTTTGCCACAACATGTTCCTTCTAAATGAGGAGTTTCTAAACTGTGACATATGTTATTACTAATCACACACAAGCTAAACTTGTATATGCCCAGCTGAGCCTAGACCTCCTGCTACCACTGGTCTTACTGGGCAAAAATAAGACTTGTGGACTTCTGTTCTAAAATCCCTGCAAAAGACATTGTGTAAATCAAGGTTGGGTCTTCTGCCTCCTCTGCAGTCAAGTGAGGCTTTGTGTACAACAAAAGAGCTGTAACCAGATTTTAAAGCACCCATAAACATGTAAAATAATCCTTGGAATTATTTGGTGGTGTAAAACATCAAGACCAATCGGGCAAGAGAACCAAACCCAACATTTTTTCCAACCCGCACTTTTAAAGAAACAAACAACATACATAGCTTAATAAAGACAGAAGAAAAGACAGAAAGAAAAAAATATAACACAGTTCTTGAAAGAGGATTCACAAAAGTGAAGTACACAAAAGAATTATGCAAATGAAAAATAAAGAGAGAAGAGTTTACAATAAGAAAACCATTAGCAGCTTCAAGAATCATCAGAGAAAGTATGGCATGTAAAGCTGGGGGAAGGAGGGACAGAACACAGCAGCATCATTATATAGCAATGCAGACATCTTCATGGAAAATACTGATGGGTTTGTGCCGCCAGACCCTTTGGGCCTGGAAAAGGTAGTATTAAGAATTCAACAATCACTTCTGCAGCACTAGAAATTGTAGCATGTGTATGGGCGTATCTGTGTCTGAGTCTTCTATGCCTGTGTGTTGTATAAGTGCACGTGCACATGTAAATTCAAGATTTCATCACCTATTATGTAAGTAGTGCTTGCAGCTAAAGAAATTAATCTGTGTGAATAATAATAATGGAGGTAGATGAGACCAGTTTAGTTTCCTCAGTGCAATTCTTTTGCACAGGCTGACAGCAAACTTTAGTCTGGTGTTTCCAATTCCTGTTTAACTAATCTAGCGGAAAAAAAAGAGAAACATTAAATACAGTAAAAAGTAGATTGTAATCTCCACATGGGAAAGCAGAGCTGGCTCTCCCTCATCAAGAGCTGACTTGAATTTCAGGCATGGTTTGTAAGTTGTATCCTGTAGGTGCTTACATCTTACTAATGCTCAAAATATTATAAAAAAAAACCATTGTGGCCACTTCTCCAAATGGTGAAAGCCAGCATAGTTCCACTAGTCACTAACAGAAGCTGAAGAACTGGAGATCTATGTTTTACTTTTATAAATCTCTCCGAGATGTTACAGTAAGCAGGGAGTCTAATACATAGACTATGACTCAGGAAAGCACTTTAAGCTCATGCTTAGGGAAGATATAAACATGTGGTTAAAGTCAAGAGCACATGTAAGCACCTTGTCTGTACAAGAATGGCTATATGCTTATTCACACTCAGCATACTCTGCTTTAAGCAAAGTCCGAACTGATGCCAGTTAGAGGTTGTGTCTAAAAAGCAAATGCTTGGTATGGCCTCAGGATGACAAACTCACTCAAAATGTTCTAAGCACATACATATATATATGAATGACACACCTACTATGTACAGAAAATATACTTAATATACAATACCTATATCTTCATAAATATATACACATGTACTTATAAAAATGCAGACATTAATTTGACTTCAGTGTGAATATAAAACGTTTTTGTTTGTCAGAAAAAGAAATTAAATCTTCACAGGACATCTGTTGCAGTATATGCAAATTCCAGTATATTAGAAATACACTTAGGTATTTTAAAATAATTTAGTCCCTAAGTAAATTTCCCATGCCAGATGCTCTTGTGGTGTAAACCAGCATATTTCATTGCCATTTTATACTGGCTCTAGATGTGAATACATGCTTTCAGTCAGTAATTTCTGTAACCAGAGGGATAATGGGATCCTTGACAATGTAATTTAAGGTTTATTAGCCAGGCTTTCCTATTGCTGTTTACAAAGTCTAGCAGTGTGATGATGTGTTTATGGTCTGTTGAAAATTTCGCTAGGACAGTGGTGTCCACACTTTACAGTTGACTGACTTGCACACCTTATTCTTGCTCGCAAGTGAGGACTGTATACCATGGTCTTCCTCAACTACAGTATAGTCCATCCCTGAATGTGTGTTGGACACATATTTCTCAGGAACAGATTTATTTCACCTGTTTGTCATCTATTCAATAGGCTCAACACTTCCGAATGTCGTTCTGACAGAGCATATGCAATACTCTGTACACAAGCAAATACACAGTGGGCTTCCTTTCAGCAGATCATGGAGGATGGAGCAGAAACCCTGTGGGAAAAACAGCATCTAGTAACAAGCTGCTGTCATTACAGCAAGTCATCCAGCCAACAGCCCTCTCATAAGCAGGAAGAAGACAATACAGCTGGAAGTAGGCATTGAGCTCTGTGAGTCTTCCTAGTAGAACACATATTTCTCACAAACTGTAGGATGTAACCCTAGCTTTCTTCAGGTTTTTAGCATCTTTGAGAACACTAATTCAGGATTCCACTCAAGATGTTCATTGCAAAGCTTCTCACACCTGCACATCATATTACCATAAATAAAATCAATCCAAAGTTTGCTGCATATCCAGGCATACGGTCACCCCATGTCAGCTTCTCCTTTTCATCCTGTGACAAAATACAAAGATAAAATAACAGACATTACAGAATTCTACGATAGGAAATATTAGAGTTATTAAGATCTTGAAAAACATTCTCAATTCCCCTACTCCTATTGCAATTTTGAAGATTATTATAAGATTTAGAACACTGATATTTTAAAGCTTACTTTGAGAGAAAAGGGGGTAAGAGGGTAAATAAGACATATAGAAAAATGTTTGCAAAAATCAGAAAATATCATATATTATTAACTATGATTTTAATATTTGAAAAAATGTTTTCAGCTCTTACTAAATATCATAATATCAGGAGAAAGCCCTGAGATTCACCTTAATTTACATTTAGGCAAAGCAAGATTCAACCATTTATTTTTTAATTGCTTCCTGTAAAACTTCAGAAGAATAGTGCTTGAGACAGAAATCATGAAAAGAATGCTTACTACCATTGAAACCGGATTTTTTGTCTAATGGTTACCTTAGACAAATGTGGCCCCTAAGATAGTTCTTGCAAAGACACCCCAATCCTTCTCCTGGTACTTGGTCTATAGAAGAGAGAAACTACAAAAGCAAGCCCCCTCTGTGATCTCTGCTGCCAACCTTGTTTTCTTCATGTGCAAACAACATCTCTCTCTTCATTGCATAATTTAAAGCAACTGTGATCAGTGAAATCTAGTATGCTTTTACTCTCCCCACACAAACCTAACTCCATCTCTAGCAACGTGTACATCTAAAGAAGGTATTTGAAAGTGGATATATATAAGAAATATGATTCCCTCCTCTCAAAATAGGTTTCTTAAAATAATAATAAGGTCAGTACCTTGTTTAAGTTAAACTGAAATTATATAATCAAATTAACTAAGGACACAGAGCCAGCTGCTGTTTGCATTTCTGTGAACCACCGTTGCTATTCCATGGACTAGTACTTCACTTATGTTAGAGTTAACCCAGAGTTATTCTGAATTTAAATGAATTTAAATCAGATTAGAATTCAGGTCAAACGTTTCAAATAAACCTTTTCTAAGGCACAATTGTCCTCGGATAAAAATAAAAACCTGAGAGTATTATGCCTTTGTAAAAGGCTTTCCCAAAGTAGCACTAGGAATACAGAAATGCAGCCTTGAACTTTCTCATGGATTTTACTGGGATGCAGAATTAGACCGAAGACACGATCCTGTCTACACATCCATTGCCATTGTGGTGGTGCTTCAAACACTGTGGGAAGTAGTATTACTCAGCATCCCCTCTTCTCAGCTCAGCTGTTCAAACAGACAAGTTAAGCCTGTCTCCTTTGGGAGAATACTGGCAGGACTGGGCCATAGCAAACTCAAGCAGAAGCACAAATAATTTGGCCCAGTGTATGCAGTACATAAATACCCTATACGGTACATAAATGGAGTCCATCATTTAGCTGGAAGGCTACTTTAAAAAGCATCTATGTGAAAGCACAGATGCATTCCATTTCATTTTGGCTTTTACCACTCAGCAATTATACAGGACATAAAGAAGGTCTAAGTGATTATACTCCAAGAAGGCCAGAAGGACACCATGTCTAACAATTTCACTAGGGGAAAAACACTAAAGAAGCAAAACAGCAGAATGAGTTAATGCTAGCCAAAGCAGTTAAAGGAAAGAAGAAAAACTTTTATAACCATACTGAGGTAGAAAGTAAAAATTGTGATTTATACAAAAGGGCCAGGAAGAGGCAAATATGACCAAACAAATGACTTCAAAAATCTCTCTAGCAGTGAGAATTTAGGAATATAAGAAAAAATAATATCAAGATCAAACTGTCACATATCATGAATCATGCTCACCAAATCCTGAGTGGCAAAGTGACTAAGTTTTTTCATGTTTTGGGTTTTTTTGTGTTCGATATTTCTGGTGATGTAAGACATTTAATGTATTTTGAAACATCAGTCAGGATTCTGACATGATCTACTGGCTTTTCCAGTTCAAGAAAAAAAAATCACATGCTGGAAGACTCCTGATAACACCTCAGCAACTTACAAAACTGAGAAATCAGGGAATACCTTAAGAAACAGGGTCCCAACTTCAGGAGAGTTTAAGGACTGCAGTTAGTAGAGCGTTTGCCCTCTTTAATCTCAGCATGTGCGTTAAGCACACAGAGGCATCTAGCATCATCAGTCATTTTGGAAGCCCTAGGTTTAGCACCTGAATACTTGTTTTACATAAATTATTGCTTTTCAAAAGCACTTTGTGCCTGATGAGTTCAATAAAATAAGTTCCTGGAATAAAGATTTAGAAGCATAACTTACTCTTAAAATTTCAATTTATTACTCGGAATACCTCAATGAAATATGGACTGCCTCCAAAAAAAATTACCTTGGTGAAAAGGACAAAAATAGTCTTTTCTCTTGTGGTGGGTTGACCTTGGTTGGCTGCCAGATGCCCACCCAGCTGCTCTCTCACTCTCCCTCCTCAACAGGTTGGGGTGAGAAATTAAGATGAAAAAGCTTGTGAGTTGAGGTAAAGACAGGAAGATAACTTACCAATTGCTATCATGGGCAAACCAGACTTGACTTCGGTAAAATTAATTTAATTTATCACTATTTAAAATAGATTTGGATGGTGAGAAATAAAAAAAAAAAAACAAACACCAAACAAACTAAAAAATCCTTCCACTTCACGTCTCTCCCAACTTCTTTCCAGGGCTAAATTCAGTCCTTCATTCCTGACTCCTTCCCTCCCCAAGTGGTGCAGGAGGATGGGGAATGGTGGGCTATGGGGTCAGTCCATAATATCTCCTCTCTGCCACTCCTTCCTCCTTACACTGTTCCCCTGCTCCACCATGGGTCCTTCCATGGGCTGCAGTCCTTCAGGATAAACCTGCTCCACTGTGGGCTCTCCAGGGGCTGCAGTTCCTTCAGGAAATTCCCACCCACTCTGGCATGGGATCCTCCACAGGCTGCAGTGTGGATATCTGCTCCATGGGCTGCAGGGAAATATACGTTCTACCATGGTCTCTCCAGGGGCTGCAGGGGAATCTGCTCAGGCACCTTGAGTACCCCCTCCCCTCCTGCTCTCACCTTGGTGCTCGCAGGGCTGTTTCTCACACTTGTTCCCCTTTCTCCTCGCTGCCAGGCAGCATTTTACCCTTTCTTACACATGACTTCCCAGAGGTGCCACCATCTTGCTGAGGGGCTCAGCTGTGCCCTGCAGTGGGTCCATTGGAGTCGCCCTGGCCTCTCCTCACAGAAGCCACCCCTGCAGCCACCACTGCCAGTGCCTGGGCACCAGCACCCGGTACAGCTATGGTGCTGGTGCAATAGCATAAAGAAAACCACATTTGCTTTTGAACACTGAACAAGGCAATGCGGGTTGAACAGAGCTCAGAGGAGTGACAGACACTTCAGCAGTGCTTTCCCAGTCTCTTCTTGCAATGAATGACACAAAGGGGGAAATTAGGAAGAAGAGAGAAGAGATGGTGTGCATGGGAAAGTATAAGTGGATAAAAGAAGGAAGAGAAGATCAGCATGCCATCTAGTCAGCTTTCTCTTTCATGCATGTGCTTCCTTTAACCTTAGGAGATTTTGCCATGAATTTGCCGTTCTCTGTAGCCAAAGGGAGATACGAACAACGTGCCTGAGTTGCTATGCCATTATGAGAAGGAAGAAAAAGATGGATGAAAATGTTACTGAGTTACTTAGACATCATGCATGGCACAAACCAAATTCTGAAACTTAAATCAATATAGTAGACAGCCGAAATCTATTTTCTGTTATGGCTCTTGCTAAGAAAACCAAATCTGTAAATTCGCTTGGTATTTTCTATCACACCTGATTCTACTTTCTGGCAATAGTGCCATCTAGCCGCTAAAAGACTGTACTGTGAGGTATCAAGAACACCTTGTCTGCGACCAAAATGTTACACTTGCACACTGCAGCAAGTGTGGTTTATTCTGTTAGTGGAATTCATTTATAGATTTCTCACAGGATACGGCACATGCCCCGTTCTAATCAATAATGTGCGTTACAGAACATTACCTAGATTTTAGACACGGGTAGGAAAGCTTTCCTGAAGGTTGATGAAAACTCAGCCAAGCAGGCAGGGAATCTATCTGGAGCAGTCCAAAAGGTGTATGCATTTATTGACATAACAATATGAAACTGATCATCTGAAGAACAATCCCAATGACAGATATGGTACACTGTGGAATATTCCCCAAGAGAAACTATTGCAGGGAAATATTTATATGCAGACAGAAAACCTCACAATAGAGATTGATTATATTTTTGTCATGAACAAGACAAACGAAAAGATATATTTTTACACCTTTCATTCAGTTTCTTTAAATATAGTGATGTATTTTCAATTGTATTGGAGGAAAAAAATAGTTGTTCTGAGTGTAGTGATGCATTCCTGTTTTAATGTTTAATGTGGTGTTGAATGTGTTCCATGCAGGAATAAAATTTTTTCCTACTAGGAAATAAAAAATAAAATTTAAAATAATCTGAAAAGAAAAAAAAAATAAAATTAGGCACCACCTAGGTTTTGCTGGATGGTTTATTTCCTTACTACCTAACGTGGCAAAGATCGAACATGTGCAGCTCTGCATCCTCAGGTGGGCCTCTGAGCTGTGGAAACCTGGAAATATACTGCACTTGGACAGCACCAAGCAGCTTTGTGAAAACAGTTCTATGTTTCTCTGTGAATTAAACCACAGTCAGTTTGCTCAGATCACAAGTATTTCAATTATTTATTTATATTTTCCCACAAGAGAACACCTCCTCAAAGCAGGTGTTTCTAACCATCAGTCATGCCAGCTCAACCTGCACTTGGGGAGTAAAGCAACATACTTCCTCTCTTCTGCATCCTGCTTTGTAACTCCAGTTCTGAAATTCAGGCTCTTCAGTGCGGTTGCACCTGGGCAACCCCAATGACTTCACTGGACTTGCACAGAGCTGCAATAATTGACTGGAACTTTGTAAAAGATGCTCAGGGAAGAACAGAATCCAGGACCCCTCTCTCTTGGCTTCCTAAGGTCTTGCA